CCAGCCCACCGGACAGTCCTACACTGCAGGATCATGACTGCCACAGGCCTCATGGGGACACTGAGGTTCAGGGAGGCAGCCATTTGCCCAGGTGACCCAGCGAGTGGGACCCTCCTCTCTGAAGCCCCAGGATGAAGAGTGTTCACACTACCCCTCAGAGGATGATCAGAAGACCCCACCACCAAGACCCCTTTGCCTCCTCAGGCCTGAAGGCTGCCCAAGCACAAACCAGGATCAGGTGGCTGGGGGGCAGGACACCAGGCTCTACGCGGCCTCACTAAGTGACCTGAGTGGCCACAACCCCTCCCAGGGCCTCAGGCTTGTGTTTAGGAAGATTATCAGGTGCAGTGACCAAGCCAGGCAGGGAAAGAGACCCAGGAGGCATGTGTGCGGGTTTCTGACCAGGAGGCTTGAGCGACAGAGGCTCTGTCTGGGGGCTGCAGACTGGGTCGGCTACTGACATTATTTCGCCCCAGAACAGGGCAGGGGATCTGCCTCACAGGGAGGCCAGGTCGGAGGAGAAGTTCAGGCCGGGAGGAAAACACTTCCTCCCCGGGGGCCGGGCTGTTCTCCCCTCACTGCTCCCAGAGCTACACTGCCCAATAGGGCAGCTTCTGGCCACATGCGGCTGGTTAACTTGAAGTGGAATTAAAACTTGAGTTCCGGGGCGCCTGCGTGGCTTAGTCGTTAGGCGTCTGCCTTCGGCTCAGGTCCTGATCCCAGGGTCCCGGGATCGAGCCCCGCATCAGGCTCCCGGCTCGGCGGAGAGCCTGCTTCTCCCTCTCCCACTCCCCCTGCTTGTGTCCCTGCTCTCGCAGTTCGTTTCAAGTGCTCACCGGCCACATGGAGCTGGCCGCCAGCGTCTGGACAGTGCAGACACAGAACAGCTCCCACGTGGCAGAAAGTTCTAGAGCCCCTTCTCTTTGAGGCTGAGAACCTCCCGAGAGACAGGAGAGGTTCTCGCAGGGGCCGTGGGGGGAGCCGGAGGGAAGGAAAGAGCTGAGAGCAGGCAGTATTGCGTCCAGGGAAGTAACCTGAGGTCCCATGAAGGTGACATGGACCAAAGCAGTGTAGTTGCTGAGAGTATAGGTTCAAGTCTCAGTCCTGTCCCTTCCTAACTGTGAGGCCTTGGGAAAGTTCCTTAACCTCTCTGTGCTCAGTCTTCTCATCTGGAGAATGGGGCAATAAAAGAATCCACCTCCCACTTTTGTTGTAAGAATTAAATGGGTTGCTCGTTATAAAGGACGTGGGCAGGACCTGACCCAGAGGACGTGCCACAGAAACATCTGCAAGGTCCACCGCACCTGCCAGGTGCTGAGCGCATTACCTAGCGCATCGTTGCTTGGTGGTCAGTAACTGCTCCGGGAACGCAGGGCCTTACCGGACAAGGGCTCCAGTGAAAGACTGAGCAGGTCCTTGGTGCCACACTCGGGCCCCAGGACCCCGTTGTAGCTGACGGTGCGGGCATGCAGCAGGAGACGGCAGGTGTGGCTCTCGGCCGTGTTGTTGGTGATGTAGGCGAAGACGTCAAAGTCACTGCCCATGTTCATGCTCTGGCCCACGCGGATCCGCATGGCCACCCCCGTCTCCACTTTATCAGTCAGCCTGTTCAGGTGGTTGGCCCTTTTGAAGGCTTCTCTCTCCTCTGGGGACCCTGTGAGGATGGGGATGAGAGCTCCACTATGGCCCTTGAAATAGGGACCAAGGACAACGAGGCTGGGGCAGGGCAAGCTGGCTTTTCAGAGTCCCGGTGACTCAGAGCAGCTCTGGAGGATCCCCTTGTCTACACTGCTGTGCCAGGAGGACGAAAGAATATTTTATTCACTTTCCACAAGTAAACTCCTTTACCTCCCTCAAGACGAGCCCCAAACGACACCCCCTCCTCCAGGAAGCCTTCTCTGACCACTCCTGCGCCAGGATAAATGAGTCACCATGTCTTCTCGAGTTTCACCTGTACCTATTGCCTATCATACTTTTTATTTAACCAAGTTGTTTTCTGTTTATGTACTTACCCTCTTAAGCGGCTCAAAGACTAAGACTGTATTTTACTTACCTCTGTCATACCCAAAGCCTCTAACAGTGCTTGCTGGATAGTAAACACCAATATGATGACGCAAACTTTCTCACCTCCCAGTGTTCACCCAGGTATTACCTCTACCTGAAATCTTTTCCCCCTTCTCCCCTCCCGGTGGAGCTCCCCGCCTCTGTGTCCCATCTACCTCTCTCCTCTGCTCCTTTTTGTTTCTTCCCCGGTGTTTCTGGGTGCATATCTACATCTCCCAACAAACCATCAGCTCTAGACCTTTCAGAGACCAGGGGAAGCACCTTTTCCTTCTGTTGTCTCCCTTCCAGCTAGAGTATGGCTGCTTGTTCCCCAAACCCCGGGCCAGCGCTGCTAAGTCAGCGGGAGTCAGATAAGGGCAGGAGCAATGTCTCCTTAGACACCTAAGTGAGCCCTCCTGGGCTCACGGATGCTTAGAAAACATCTACTGTATTGAATTGGCTGCTGGTTGTGTTCCAAAACAATTTAAAAAATAAGCTGTGTCCTTTCTTCCCTCTCTTGATTTAACACAAGATGCGGAGAGCGGCTTCGTCTTTGTATCAGATTGCAGCTCTCTTATTAAGTTGCTCTTGCCCCATTTCTCTCCTCCTTCCCCATCCATCTTCACGCTCACCTCCCCAGCTCTGTGTGAAATACTGCACAAATAAACACTACAGTGTTCCTGGAATCTCTTTTCCAGGGCCCGCCCCTCTGGACTTTCACGCTGTTCTAGTCCAAACACATTGCAATTACAAGAAAAGGGGGGTGGGGGTGGGATAGCCCATCTTCGGTTGTAGGTGCCATTACGACAAATACTGTTACAAAACAACACAGACATCATTAATCTTTCTGTTCAGATGCATGCGTCTCCAACATAACGGGCATCCCTTCAGTTGTATTTAAGTCAAACCAGCCAAAAAAGCAAGGCTTAAAAATCCCATGGAATCCTTTTGTGGAATACAGAATTCTTTTCTTAAGTGAATACGCCTCTACTACTGTCTCCCAGTGTGCTTTTTTCTAAGAAAAGATGTAAAATGGAGAGTAACCTACAGGTCCTTATTGTATGCAGGCTGCCAAAAAAACACACATGCACGCATGTGCGCACACACACACACACACACACACACACACACACGAGCCCACTGGCTGGTAAAACGGGCTGGTGAAGGCTCTGGGGAGCCGGGCACCTACCCTCCGGGTACTTGTAGGTGTGGGTGATATCCTCCCGCTCATCACGGCCCACGCTCTTTGTGCTGATCTTCATCCCCACGGTCTGGGAGTTGTTGGTGGACTTGCACATGGATCCATCGTCCTGCAGGATCCAGTTCACCACGTCGGCATTGACCTCAGCAAAGACAAAAGGAGCGTCGTACTTGGTGCTCAGGTTGCCCTCCTTGATGGCACGAACCGGAACCGGGCCACAGCAGTATGTCCCTGGTTGGGGATAAGAGGAGAGATGGGCCTGGACTGCGGGGAGGGTGGCACCCTCTCACACCTTCCACATTTCTTTTTTTTTTTTTTTAAAGATTTTATTTATTTATTTGAGAGAGAGAGAGAATGAGAGAGAAAGAGCATGGCGGGGGAGGGTCAGAGGGAGAAGCAGACTCTCCGCTGAGCAGGGAGTCCGATGAGGGACTCGATCCCGGGACTCCAGGATCACGACCTGAGCCGAAGGCAGTCACTTAACCAACTGAGCCACCCAGGTGCCCACACCTTCCACATTTCAACCACATTGTTGCAGGGAATCTCAAGACCATCCAGCCCTTTGACTCAGGGACTCCATTGCTGGGAAGGAAGGCAGCAGAGAGTAAGAATTGACAATGGAGACTCTGGAGCCCACCCAGCTCCTGGGGTTCAAATCTCAGCCGGCCTCTTATTAGCTGGGTGACCTTGGGGAAGTGACTTAACTTCTCTAAGCCTGTTTTGTGTGGTGGGGATATTTGTACCCACCTAATGAGGATTCGGGTACACTAAATGCTATGTAAGTGTCTGAAATATAAAATAGAAGCGTATCCTCAGGCATCCTGAGGAAGGGAGGGAGCCATGCGGTAGAAGGCGTCCATCTGTCCTGCTTCCTGCCCGCACAGAGCCACACCCGCCCATCAATGTACTCAGGGAGTGCGCCATGACTGAATGAACATGAGAGCTGGGTGTTTCTCTCACTGGGGTTCACAAAGTTAAATGTAGAGGGCTAGAGGCTGGGTAGCTTACTACAGTATATCCATTTGATGCAACGCGGTAACATTCATTTAAAATTAAAATCACGGAAAACTATGTATAGAGAAATGCCAAGGACATATGGAGAAGTGACAGGGCCTAGACGAAAGGCCACGTGCAGCTGGAGATCTTAACGCAGGGACCAAAGACCCCCAAAGCACTGCAAATAGAATTCGGGGGTCCGTGAACTTGGATGGGAAAAAAATTACATCTTTGTCTTCACTGAATTTGGATAACACTTCCTTCGATTGCGAAAGCAGACAAACCATAGTCTCAGGTGCATTTATGACTTCTCACCCATAAGGAACACAGACATTTATGTATCACTTTATAGTTGTCATAGATAATTGGAAATACCGCTTATATGCATCTGTACCAGTACATTATGGAACTTACGATCTCTACCACTAGATCTTGTTCTGTAAACCGTATATTATTATATCATAAATTTATTTTTTTAAATTTTGATAACCATGTTTCAGTGCAATTGGTTTTCTTTGTTACCCTAGGTAATATATTCTATGCATTTAAAAATATTATTCTGTTGGGAAGATGGGGTAACTGGGTGATGGGCATTAAGGAGGGCACGTGATGTGATGAGCACTGGGTGTTATACGCAACTAATGAATCGTTGAACACTACGCCAAAAACTAATGATGTACTATATGTGGGCTGATTGGATTTAAATAAAAAATAAATAAATACAAATAAAAATATCATTCTGAGAAAGGATCCATTTGGTTTCACCCAAATTTGCCTTGGTGTTCTGTCTCTTTTTCTCTTTCTCTTTTCTCTATCTCTTTCTCTCCTTCTCTCTGTCTCTGTCTGTCTCTTTCTCCCTCTGTCTCTGGCTCTCTGTCTCTCACACACACACCTACAAACAAATATATAATAGGAAATTACTGGAAGCTGTGTGTAAATGTTAATGACATTTCTTTTGAGGGGGAGAGGACAAAGATGTTGTTTGATTTTTTTCTTTGTGCTTCTCCATATTTGTTTTCCACAATGCATGTGAATTACTTTTCAAATCATAAAAGAAGCGGATCGTACACTACGAGTGAGGACCCCCCACACTCGTGCAGACCAGTCAGTGGTCTCTGGAGTCAGCCAGACTGGGGTTAGAACCTGGCTCTGCCTCTCCCGGCTGAGGGACTGTGGGGGTGTTCTCGCCAAGCCTCAGTTTCCCCGTCTAGGGAAGGGGGCCACGCCCACCCACCTTCACTCTTCTCCTGGGGCGTGGGGTCGAGGGCCTGCCACCCCTCGTAGCCAGGCTGCAGGTCCGGCCTGCTCATCCATGACTCCGCCCAGCAGTGGTAGTTCCTGTGGGAGAAATGAAGCGAGGACTCACACTCCTCCCGCGGGCAGTCCACACTCGCCTGTCCTAGGCTCAGCCCAGAGTGTCCCCGACACTCCTCCTTGCTCTTCCGCCCCTGGGCCCCCGCCAGGTGCTCACTCCTACTTGGGGAGTCAGCGCTTCTCCCACAGCTCTCCCCTTTCAGTGGCTCCTTGAGTCCAACTGATGGGACCTCCCTGCTTCTTGGCTGTCCCTTCTTCTCCAGCTCCTGGGCTCTGCCGAGTTTCAGGCCTGCCTGGGCCACACCCCGGCCCCCCGCCTGCAGTCTCTCCCCTTCTGATCTCCTGCTCCAGTGTCATCAGTGTCCCTCTCCCAGTTTGAAGCCTTTGGTGACAACCCGCTGCTTTTGGAGTCAAGCCCAGACCCTCTAACCTGGCATTCCAGACCCCTGAAAAATCATTCCCCTGACACCTTTTCATGCATTGTTCACTTTGTGTGTTGACTTTCCCTCCTTTGCTCATGCTGGGGCCCCTACCTGGAGAGCCCTCCCTAGACCCTGTTCCCCCTTGTCCAAATACTGTTCAACTTCTAACCCCAATTCAAATGTGACCTCCTCTGAGAAGTCTTCCTAGGTTTCCCTTCCAGGGGACCCTCCCCAGTGGGGTCCACCCCTGACCCCGGGCCCCAGCTTACCAGATCATCTCGCTTTTGTCCCTCTGGATCTCCCCAAATTTGTTGTAGACATACTCGATGAGCAGGTTGCTGTTCTGGTCATGGGCCGAGTTAAAGTTGGTCACCACTCGGGTGGGGATACCAAGGCACCGCAGCACTGGGGGTGGGGGAGGGGACAGGATGGAGAGAGGGATTAGGGGATGAGCTGAGGATCTGGAGACATCTGCCCTGCTCTGCGCATCCACATGCCCATCTGTATCCCAGGCAGCACTGTACCCATTATCCAGGTGGTGAGGGTGGGCACCATCCCCTGACCTGGATGATGGTGCCCACCTCATTGGTCACTCCATGTCCACTCTGCCTCCTCACATCACAGCTAACAGAAGAAGCCCCCAAAATGCAAGTCTGACATCAACACTCCTCTGCTAAACCTTCGATGGCTCCCCATGGCCCTTGAAGTCAAGGCCAGACCTCTGGCTATGGCCGTTGGCCCTACAAGGTTTGGCCCCTGACCATCTCCTGGGCACTTTGCCCGAGCCACACTCGCTGCTCCTCCAGCACTCTGCACTCCTGCCAGCCACAGGGCATTGGCATATGCTATTCCTTCAGCCTGGAAGGCCACCCACCAGGTTTAGATTGCTCCACCATTTGCATTCATAGCAAGATTGGGGATTCATCATCCTTCACAATGGACGGGCATGTGAGTGATCCTTTAATTTGTCCTCTGAGGGCAGTGAGTGATCTGTCTTACTTTACGTGCCCAGAGCCCAGCACAGGCCTGGCACAGACAATTTTGTCAAATGGATGAAGGGGTGGATGAAGCAGAGAGAGGAGGAGGAAGAAGGGGAAAAGGGAAGAAGGGCAGGAATGGTAGAGATTAGGGCAAGGAGCACACAGTGGAGCAGGCAGAAGAGGGAACAAGGGTCCGGGGGGCCTTCCACGCAATGCCGGCTGCTTTGGGCTGTGTGGCCTGGGGCCAGTCCCTCCAGTTCTTTGGGTCTTGTTTCCCCCCCTCTACCACACAAGGTCATGGTACACACGCAGGGCCGGCAGTCGTGCGGGGGCGCCGTCGTGGAAGGGGAGGGCCCTGCGCTCACGCCAAAGCATGGTTTACAGAGGTCACAGTGACAGGGGAGGGACAGGGGTCACAGTGGCGGGGGGGGGACAAAGAAGCAGGACAGCAGGTGGCACCTACAGACCTCCGAGGAGGGAGGGGGGCCCGGGGCAGGATTCGAGCCTGAATGGCGGGGTGCTCCTGACAGGCGGCGTTTTGGGTGCCTTTTCACTCCCTCATTTTTTAATGAGTTTTTTATGTGTTTTGTGAAAGTAACATACTCTTGGGTGGGATAAAGGAAATAAATAAATTTTTTTTAAAAGGTGAGAAAAGGGGGCGCCTGGGTGGCTCATTCGTTAAGCATCTGCCTTCAGCTCAGGTCATGATCCCAGGGTCCTGGGATCGAGCCCCGCATCGGGCTCCCTGCTCCGCGGGAAGCCTGCTTCTCCCTCTCCCACTCCCCCTCCCACTCCCCCTGCTTGTGTTTCCTCTTTCACTGTGTCTCTCTCTGTCAAATAAATAAAAAATCTTTAAAAAAAAAAATTAAAAAAAAATAAAAAGTGAGAAAACCCCTACTGAATGGGACTTTTGCCTTTTAGTTTTGATTGAGATTGAGTCTTGGAGATGGTGGGTGGAGTGTGTGCATGTGTGTGCGTATGTGTGTGTGTGTGTGTGTGTGAGTGTGAGAGGGACCTTTGCCCTGTTGCCCTGGGTCCACTGTCAAGCAGGGTAAGAGGTCCCGGGAAGGCCCTGGATTCTGGCCCTGGACGAGGGCCCCTGGGAGCAGGGAAGAAGGACAGTGTTGACCTTCCCCCTCCTGCCTGGTGGCTCCCCCTGAGGCCCCGGCAGTAGACTCTCTGTGTCCCGACCCCAGGCCTTGCCCCATGACATGACAGGGCTCAGGATACAGACCAGGCGTGGCGAGGAGCAAGGCATCACCCCTGTCCTAGAGCTGGTGTCCCAAGAGGGCTTGTCATCACAGGCTCAGGCCAGGAGGCTGCCCCAGAACCGGGGACACCTGACCTCAAGCCTGGCCATGCTGCTCTCCAGCTGTGTGACCTTAGCCAACCACTTCCCGTCTCAGATTCCATTTCCTCTTCTAAGAGGAGCTGATAATAGCAGCTTTGGGGGATGTCGCGGTGATTCAGAGAGGTATGGATGTGGGCAGTCTCGTCTGCCCCGTGCCCAGCCTGGAAGAGCAGGGTGCCACGGTGCCTGTCACTGCAAATGACTATCCAGTCACCGTGGGCTGACTCTGGGACATTTCGAAAATGCTCCAGGGTCCGGCTGAGGAATCCCAGCTTCCCCTGAAGCCCACAAACCCAAGCCTAACCTGAACCAGAGACTGTGCAAAGTGACATCTCCCCGTGAATTAGGTCCGTCACCTCTGTGTCCATTTCATAGGTGAGGATACAGGCTTGGAGACCCCAGTTCTCTTGCCCAAGTCCACCCAGGGACTGGTGACAGAGCTGGGATTCAAAACAGGCAGCGGAACACCAGAGTCCCTGGGCCAGTCCAGCAGGCGGCTTCCTGCAGAAGCTGCGGGGGCCTGCTCATCCAAGCCACTTTTCCCTGGCTCTGTCCCACACCAGGCCGGGGAGAAGGCTGCAGGGACCCAGACTCAGCCCTGGCCTTGGGGAGAGAGGGGTCTGGAGCAAGATCTCCGGAGGTCACAGCCCCAGGGGAGGGAGGCATCTGCATGTGAGTTTGTGGACCCAGGCCACAGATGGTGGTGGGTCTCCAGAAAATCCTTGGGGTTGTCTGAGGAGGCATTTCAGGCCCCTAAGAAGAAGAGGTCTAGGACAGGGGAGTTTGCACAAGAAAAGGGAATGCACAGGTCCCAGAAGCAGGCAGGCATGGTGGTTCGGCCGTGGGGAAGGGGGAGCAGAGACAGCCCAGCTGGGAGCCTGGGCCGCACTACCCCTACCCAGACTGCTGGTGTGGAGGACAGCACCAGGACGCCCCGAGGCCCTTCCCTGGGCCTGGGCCCTGGTCCCGGAGTCAGAGAAGCTGCGAATCAGGACCAGCCTCTTAGATTTCCTGAGCCTAATAAATAATAATAGCAGTGTAATCATCGTAATAAGAATAATCTAACAGCATGAGATAAGTATTTGCTGTTATGCAACCGAAATCATTTCTAGCACTTCATACGTTATCCTCACAACTGCCCCAGGATAAAGGCACTGTTATGTCCGGTTCACATGTAACAGAGCTGAGGCTCAGAGAGGCTCAATGATTACCCGGGGACACAGCTGGTTAAGAAGCAGAGCTGGGACTGGGATTCAGGCCTTGACTCTGGAGTCTATGTTTTTATGTGGTACAGGATACGGACTCATTCTCATACGCACCAACCCCAGCCCAGAACAGTCTTCACCATTCTCTGGGCTCGAATATTTAAGATTTTTTAAAGATTTATTTTACATTTTGGTTTTAAATTGCTTTCTCTTTCCTCATCTACATTTTAGAAAGAGTTTCTCTTTCTTGACATTGATAATGACTGTTATTATTGAGTTACTAATAGCTAATATTTACTGAGAGCTACATTGGGCTGAATTCTGGGCCGAGCAGTTTTCTATCAACCCACCCCCATTTTACAGACCAGGAGGGAGGCCCTCTCGCCCCCATTTTACAGACCAGGAAATCAAGGTTCAGAAGGAAGTCATTTGCTCAAGGTCACAGAGCAGCTGAGTGTTCCTGGGGATTTTTAATTCAGGGGTGCCTGGCTCCAAAGCCCATCTTCTCAACCCTGAGCCCAGGCTGCCTCCCAAATGACATCCCTTGATCCTAATAACCACCTGCAGGGTAGTGGTTGGAAAAAGGACCAGAGAGGGGCAGCCGCCGACTCCAGGCCTCACAGTACGTTGGTGGCATTGGAGGCAGAGACAGGACCAGAACTGGGATCTGCTGATTCCCGTTTGAGTGCTCTCCCTGCCCCCGTCCCAGCGCTCAGGGAGGCTGTGAACCGGTCCCAGCCCCGGCCCCCGCCCAGCGTGCAGCTCACCTGTGCAGGCCACAGCTGCGAAGACCCAGCACTGGCCGTACTTGACACGCTGGCAGCCCGAGGTCTTCCAGCGCCGCAAGATGTCCACACTGCCGATCCAGAACATGGGGCTGACGCCATCCTTGTAATCGTTGTCCCAGCGTCCCAGCAGCACACCCTGGTCATCATTGCAGTTGACCTACAACCAGCAGGGCATCAGAGGGGCCAAGCCTGGGGAGCAGGTGCTGTGAGTTCAGTATGCGGTGAAAGGCAGGGAAAGGAATTTAGGAGCGGGAACAGCCCATGCAAAGATACCAAGGTGTGACAGGCTGGTACGTGGGAGATGGTTGGGGCTGGAGCCCGGGGTGTGGGTGAGAGAAGGGGAAGAAGGGAGGAGGTGGTGAGGGGTCAAGGTCATGAAGGTGATGCTGGTGATGTGAATTGGTCCACGGGGTGGCAGGAGAGTGACAAGAAGTGATCTGAGTTTTATGAAGACCCCCTCCGGCCCCTGCGTGGATTCTGTCATTCCCCTCACGCTCCCATTGCCTTGAGAATAAAATCCAGCCTCCTGACTGTGGCCCATGAGGCCTGCATGGCCTAACCCCTGCCCACCTCCTGCACCCCACTCCCGCTCGCTCACTCCACTCCAGCCATGCCAGCCTCCTTTCTGCTCCTTGAACCTGCCAAAGTCGTTCCCTCCTCAGGGCCTTTGCACAAACTGTGCCCCCTCCCTGGAATGCTCTTCTCCCACTTACTGTATCAGCTTAGGGATCATCATGTAAGGCGGGGGGGGTCCCCCCAGCCCCTCACCGAAGTTGGATTCTGCAGTTAGACACTCTCACACCTCTGGCTTCCTTCGGTGCCTGCATCATCATTTCTGATTGTGACTCATTCCCACGGTATTTCTTTTTTTTTTTTTAAAGATTTTATTTATTTATTTGAGAGAGAGAATGAGAGACAGAGAGCATGAGAGGGAGGAGGGTCAGAGGGAGAAGCAGACTCCCCGCCGAGCAGGGAGCCCGATGCGGGACTCGATCCCGGGACTCCAGGATCATGACCCGAGCCGAAGGCAGTCGCTTAACCAACTGAGCCACCCAGGCGCCCTCCCACGGTATTTCTGTCAATGTCTGTCTCCTCCCACCCACCCACCCCCGAGCATATAAGCTCTCTGAAGTTAGACACCATACACGTCTTACACCCAACTGTTTCTCCAGTGCCTAGGACATGGGTGGCATCTAATAAATATTTGCTGAATGAGTGAATGAATGGATGAATTGCTTTTAGGGACCACGTGACATTACCCTTATTTGTGTAAATCTTGTCTTTGCAAATACAAGCTCTCTTAGCTGAGACTTTCCCATCTCCTGGGACCCCCCCAACCAAGCCCAGGGTGGAGTGTGGCCTCCATCATCACAGGAAGGGGGGAGCCGACTGGAGCCCATGATGGGCCCATGATGGGCCCAGACGCCGGGACGGGCCCCGCCTCTCACTCACCATGGCGCTCACCACCCGGCCCATGTAGACAGGGCTGCTGCGGCGGGAGCAGTCACGGCAGGCATCCTTCAGGAACTTGGGGTTCATGTCCAGGAGCGTCAAGCAAATGTCCAGGATCCCGTCTTCAAACTGTGTTGGGGGAAACAAGAGGAGGAGGAGGGAAATGAGAAGCTACGTCCTCCTGGAAGCCTGCCATGCAGCCCTGCAGCCATAGGTCCTCTCTGTTCCATCTCACACACTAGGGAAGTCCGGGCTGGGTCAGCCACATCTCTGTGAGGCCAGCTCTGCCTGGCCCAGGATGGGCTTTGGGGGGACAATGACTGAGTTTGTGAGAAAGAAGAAGGGATGTGCCTGCATTCAGAGCCTGGCCGGGGTGGAGGGGAGGGGGGTGTCCTGGGAACGTGGAGTAGCACCCACAGTGTCCCTGGGGCTTCCCTCTCTTCAGAGTCACCTCAGGCCCTGCCACTGTCCCTTCCCTGTATCTGCTGTGCCAAATATCTCATTTCCCCTAAGGCCTGACTCACCCTGCAGAGCTGATGAGAATCCTCTCTCCCCCCTGCCCCCTCCACCCCAACACACTGCTCTGATCGGAAATGAGGTAAATTATATCTTGAAATCACTCCTCTGTTTCCACTGCACCTAGGATAAAATCTAGACTTTGCCCTGTGACCTCAAGACCCTTCACAATCTGTGTCCTACCCCATCTCTGACCTCATTATCGCCACTCATTGCCCCAGGACCTTTGCACTTGCTATTTCCTTTCCTTGGAATGCTCTTTCAGCCACTCTTTGTATGGCCCACACCTTCTCATCCTTGCAACTCCAATGTTATCATTATCAAAAGTAGGGCCCTCCCTCCTTGTCACATTACACTGGACCACCTGTCTGACCAGTCCAAAGGCAATCTGCTCCCTGCTACCCACCCTCTGTGGTGTTGTCCTAAACCAGGCTTCATCACAGGTCTCCCTCCATGGCTTTGAGCCCTTTTGTGGCTCCCTATTGCCATCTGCCTGACATTCACACCCCGGACACTGCTGACTTTTCCCACTTCATCTCTTGGGACTCCTCCAGACATAAAGTGCTCCCTGAGCTACAGAATTCTTCTTAAGCACAAGATAAACTTTCCCACCTCTGAGCTTTTTGCTCAGGCCATTCCCTTTGCCTTGTATACCGTGTTTCCACCTCCCCCATAGACCAGCTCAGACCTTGCCTATTTCAGAAATTGCCCTGATTCCCATCGGCAGTTATTCACTTCCTTCCTCTAGGTCTTATCATTCTGGATTGTGATGGCTTCCAGAAGATTTGCAAGAGCTGTGTCCAGTGGCTCAACACAAACTTGGACACAGAACAGAGTCAGGAAAGGAAAGGAAGGACTTGGCTTTTGTTCTGTTTCTCAGGGGAGAATACAAAGCCCTGGGAATTAAGAGCCAATTTACTCTGCGATGTATTTTTTGTATCCCACCCACACCACCATTTCATGTACATCCCAGAGCAGGCTATAGGTTCTTGGGCAGATATTCTTGCAATTAGTATCCCCAATATTCAGATGGGGAAACTGAAGTCAGAGCCCCACACCACCCAGGGAAGACTTCCCTGTGGTCCCAGGGCAGGACTCTGGAGACCTGAATATGGAAACCCTAACCCAGGGGCTGTTGGGAAAAGTCTCAAGGTGAACCCCATCCCAAAAGGCCAACACCCCCCAACACACCAGTAGGTGGAAGGGCCAGGAAGGAGTGTGACAACTCTTGCTTCATGAGTTTTCTCAGCAAGGTCTCAAGAATTTTCATGGGAACCTGGATGGCAGGGGAAATGAGATCCCTCATTCAAACCACCAGCCTGCGCTGACTTGCTAGAAGATGAGGAACCACATGGAACAGAGATGTGCCATCTAGCAGAGGTCAGCCACGCCCAGCCTAGGCAGCCATGCCCCAGGTGAGCCATAGATTTATAAGAAATAATAAATAGCTGTTGTTTTAAGCCTGTAAGCTTTGGACTTGTTTGTTACTCAGCAGTAGCTAACTGATACAACCAGTGGTTCACAAAGTATGACCACTGATCAGCAGCATCAGCATTGCCTGTGAACCTGTCAAAAATGTAAATTCTCAGCCCACACCCAGGCCTACTGAGTCAGAAACTAGGGGTGGGACTCAGTGATCTGTGTTTTAACACACTTTTCTGGTGATTCTGATGTATATTCGAGTTTGAAAGCCACTGATCTAGTTAATGGTGTAAAGCTTCCCTTCAGCACACACAATGGCATTTCTATTATTTTGGTATATGGCCTTGAATATTCCCTTTCTCACTCCTGGAGCACCTGCTAGCCCCACAATTCCCAAAGGCTCTCCCGATTCTTCCCCACTTTGAATCTGGGACTGCCATTCCCACGGTGGGTAGGGCAACCCTTTGCTGTATGACCTCAGGCTTGGCCTGGACCCTCTCTGATCCTCCAGCCATTTCAGGGCTCTTGAATCCCTGACAGCATGGGGTGGGCAGCTCTGAGACCAGCTCGCACCTCTGCAGCTTTGACCACCTCAGACCCAGGGCCCCACACACAGTGGGCCTGCAGTGGTTGGGAAGGTCAGGATGTGGCCCTACCTGCCCAAAGTTCCAAGGTATGCTCTTGATGCACTTGACCGAGCCCTGGTAGATGAAGCCCTGCTGGGTGAGCACGTACTCCTGCCGCTCTTCCTCTGAGTCCAGGTACACAGCATCCGCTGGGGGTGGGAAGGAAGGGACCTGAGCTCTGGGTGTGGCAGAGTGCAAGGTCCCCAAAGACATGGCAGCCAGGGGGCCAAGACCCAGGGCTAGGTCAGAGTCTTGGAGGTCCTTCTATCTTTGAATCAGAAAAGCTAATCATTCATTAATAATCCCATACCCATGAGATAAGTGTTTTCAACTAGTATTATCAGTGGTTGCCATTTCTCTAACACTTGCCTGTAGTAAGTGTATGACATATATTAATGTTTAATTTCCGCAAGAGCTCTATGAGAAAGGGACCTTGAAAGCCCCATTTTACAGGTAGGAAAACTGATGCTCACACAAGAGATAGAGGAGCCCTGGACCAGGAGTCAGGAATCTCCTAGCTGATCCTCACTTGTTGTGTGACCTTGGGGAGATCACTTCTCCTTCTTCATCCCCCCCACTGTGTTCCCTGAGGATAACATGGGATGCAGAGCTGAAAGGTGCTTGGCAAGCTAAAGCCCTGAGCCAGTGTGAGAAGGAGCTTGATTCAAGGTAGAGAGAAAGCCTACTAGGGTTACTGGGGCTCCGGGGAAGTGCGGTCCTGTCCAGCTGTGGGGAGGGGGTGGTCAGGGAGGATAGCCCTGAAGCAGGTGCCTTGTGAATGCTGCTTTGAGAAATGCCTACGATTTAGATACTCGGAGTCTGGTGGGATGACACGCTAAGCAGAGGACCAGAGACAGCACAGGGACAGGTACTGGTATGCATGGCGCTTAGCTCCTCATGGCTGACGACCACAGAAAAGAGCGCTGGGGCAGTCGGGCCCACGTGGCAGGAGGTTAGAGATCAAGCTGGCCTTTACCAGGCCCCACTTCACAGGTGAAGAAACTGAGGCCGGGAAGAGGAAATCCAGAGCCACATTATGACTTGGGTGGGCCCTGGGCATTTTTGCTTCTGTGGGCCCCTTCCTCCGTAAAAAATAAATAAATAAATAATAATAATAATAAAATAAAAATTAATATATTTTATGACTGCATTGGTGTAATAACAAATAATGTAACATATTCTCTGACCTCAACTTCCATTTTTGTCTTCTGATTTTAAAAGGAATTAAAACATTTTTATGGGTCACTAAAAATATGGTGGCACTGGACTGGAATGCAGCTGCTCGGGGCCCTTGGGCCTTGGGGATGAGAGGTCCCCGCACATACTTGGCACTTGCTCACTCCCTCCTCTCCTCCTGTCCTTCCTGAGCTCAGGAGTAGAAGGCTCTGGTTTCAGGGGCAGGTCCCAAAGGGACAGCAGTGTTCCCACCCAGCCGGCCCACCCCACCGAGCCCAACTTCCTGCCTCCGAATCACTGGCTCCACGTCCCGCCCTCCCCAGGCTCCCACCCTGGGATGTGGGTCACTTTAGTCACTGTGCTGCTTGGCTGACAGCTACCCCAACCCGCAGGGTGGGGATGGGGCAGGGCTGGAGGAAAGGCAGAGGAAGGGGACATCCCAGGAACCTTGATCCCTGTTCTCTGAACTCTGAAACCCTGCCATGTTGGTGAGTGGGGAGGAGGAGGGGGACACGGGCCTCTTCCTGCTCTGTGCATGGGGCGGCCTACTAGCTGTAAGCTCTGCAGATTGACAAAATCAAAGCAAGTCTACCGCGGGGTGCAGCAAGGCCACTTTTATCCTGAGAAACCATTCCATGTGGCCCCAGGGCGTGTGAACAAGGGTGTTCTATAGACACCCTCTCTGTGAGGATCCACTGGGGACAACCTCATGTCCTTGGGTGGAGGGCCAGATCAATGAACGGTCCACACTGGCAAGACACAGGGCACTCTGAGCTCTTAAAAAGAAAAAGCAGGGGCGCCTGGGTGGCTCAGTTGGTTAAGCTTTAGGCTCAGGTCACGATCCTGGGGTCCTGGGACCCTTATGGGGCTCCCTGCTCAGCAGGAAGTCTGCTTCTCTCTCTGCCTGCTGCTCCACCTGCTTGTGCGCTCTCTCTCTCAAATAAATAAATAAAATCTTAAAAAGAAAAAAAGCAGATGTGTATGCACGCCAGTGTGGAAAGATCGTCAGGATGTATGGTAGAGGGGAAAAGTTAAATAAGTTGTGGGTTGATGTATACTGTGGGATCCTTTTGTGTTTAAGAAAGACAGAGAATCCCATTAAGGTGGCAGTGTCTCTAGGCATATACACTGGAATCTAAGGAGATGAGTCCCTCAAGACAGCTAATAATGCTGCTCCCCAAGGAGAGTCAAAGTGGAGCTGTTTTCCTGCACTGCTTAAAGCTTATATGAAGAGGACATCTAAAAGCCAAAATATATAAAAGAGAAAATAAAAAATCTTTCCCCTCGACTGTGTTATAAAATGCCTCAAAATGGAGAAGAAGAAATAAAGCAGCGGCCCAGTAAGAAGCAGGTTGTCTGATGCTGGAGAGGCCAGAATTTGTGGCTGGGCCCCCGCTTTGAGGAGGGACACCCTGTTCCTCAGCTGGGGCCCACCTGGCCTGTCTCTCTGCCTCGCTATGCAGGAACAGGAAGGAAACAGATCCGGCTGCCCTGTTAGTCATATGGGGAAACTGAGGCCTGGGAAGGGGTGTGGCAGCCCCTGCTGCCCCCTTCCTCCTTGAGCCAGCCTCGGCTCTTCAGGCCGTCCCCTCCAACTTGCTAGTTTTGTCCAGCATTGTCCACTTACTTCCTGAGGAGCTTCCCAAAGCCACTTGACCTCTCTAAGCCTGCGAGGACACTGACAGTCTCCCCCTTGGGATTGTTGAGAGGAAGCAGGGAGGAAGCGTATAAGGAGGCACTTAGGTAACCAAACTGCTCCTGCCCGCCGCTTCCGGCTACCTTACCCCTCCGCCTCCCTCAGTTTCCCCTCCCCAAGCCCGTCTGGTGGAATTTCCAACAGAGCCGCATGAACCAGAACTGGGAGTGGGTGGTGAACGGCGGCCCCAGGCAGCCCCTGGGCACCCCATTCCTGAATGGGGCTGTGACCCCGAGACACCCGCACACCCAGGTCACGGTGCTCGGGGAACACACGCGCCTCGGATGCGGGCTGAGATCCCTTGGTAGCTGTGCGGCCTCGGGCAGGGCAGGGGCGTTTTGCTTCCCAGTGTGCGTCTGCCTGTGTAAGGGGGTAACAGCATGCGCACACGGCGAGGGCTTTGTGAGGCGGGCCTGAGGGGGCTTCCCTCAATCTTCTGCCCCATTTCCCCCGCCCTCAGCGGCCCCCACGGGTGGTCCAGGCCGGCCCAGCAACCCCCTCGGCCCCGCCCAGGGGAGTATGGCTTACCTGGGCACCAGGTGTTGAAGAGCAGCGTGAAGTGGCCCAGCATGAAGCTGGAGCCTTGGTAGCCGGTGGAGGCCTCCAGGCTGAGGCGGTACAGGCCGACGGGGGCGCTGGCCGGGGTGCTGAGCTGCAGCGAGACCACGCCGTCCTGCTGGTTCAGCACGGTGGCCGCCCAGGCGCCCTCCTCCACAGCACTGGATAGTGGGAAGCGGGCCTTGGTCCCGGCCTCCTCGCTGGGGGCTGGGCCTGGTGGAGAAAAGGCCGTGGCCATGAGCCAGCCAGACGCGGGCAGGGCCCGGGCGCACGCAGGGGGTCCCACGGGCCGGGGTTTGAGGCCTAGTTCCGCGGCTGACCAGTGAGGGAACTTTGGCAAGAGGTTTCATCTCCCTGAGACTTGGTTTCCTCGTCTATAAAGTGAGGATCAGACCCCAGCCTTGCAGGGGTGCTTTTGTGAGAATGCGTGAAAAGCCACAGGCACCAGGCAGATTTCTCCTGGGAGAGGGGGCAGCTCCACCCGGGGCAGGGTCTCAGTCACGCTGCCTGGGCGGGTGTGACTGTGCACAAGACACCCCCCCCCCCGCTCTGGGCTCCGTGTGTCCACCTGTAGCATGAACAGGAATCCTTGGGGAGCATCCTCTTTCCCACCTGAATCCTTTCCCTGCTAGGGAGCAGCTTTCCCTTTCAGAAGAATAAGCCCAGACTCTGAGCAGGAGAGGACCTTGGTTCTCTGATGTCCCCATGGGAGCCCATCTGAGAGGCCCCTTGCTGTGGAGTGCTGGCCCATCCAGCCTCTAGGTGTTTGTCTCCCCAGGCCCCCCTCTGGCTTTTGGCCTTTGTATCTCCATAGGCAGCTCCAAGGAGGGGTCATAACCATCCCCTCCCACCCCACAGCCTTGGCCCTTCCTGCTTCCCCTGAGGCCCCTTGTACAGGTAGGAAAACTGAGGATCAGAGAGAGGAGGGTCTCCCAAGGATATCCCAGGAGTCTGGGGCAAAGTTAGCATCTAAGCCCAGGTCTCTAGGCTCTGGGCTGTCCTCCACGGTGCCTCTCATTCCCGTGCTCTCTCATAGGGGTCTTGAAGGCTCTGTGAGATAGGGAGCCGGCCTCAAGCTTGGCTGCTTTTTCTGGTGGGGGGAAGGCCCTGCCCCTGCAGGCAGGTCTGAGTCATGGGAGGGTGAGGAGGGGCTGGTCATCCTTTCTGGACTTGGGTGGCCGAGAGGAGAAACAGAACCTTCTCTGCCTAGTTGGGTGGCTGCCCAGGAAAGTTTATTTTTATTCTTCCGAGCTCCCTGTAGCTCAGCCCACCTGCTTCCGATAATATGGGGGCCTGTTCACTGAGGGGCTCCCTCCCCGCACCCTGCCCCCTCCTCCCAACCCACGAGCCCCACCCACACCCAGGCCCAAATATAACCATGAGCTAACAGGCATGACACAGGCCTCCAAGGCCCTGTCTGTGTGCCAGGAGTTGGCTGTAAGCCTTTAAATCCTCCTGAGCAGTTGAGCAGCACTGAGCCCCCAAGAGCCAGCCGGGGTCTGGTTCCCCTACTCAGGCTCTGAGCAGTGTGTGACCTGGGCTAAGTCACCAGGCCTTTCTGATCTGCAATTTTCTCATCAAAGAAGAAAATAGGCTTAGACTAAATGTCTGGGAAGGTCTGATTCTAGGTCTCAAACTGGCTCCGTGACCTTGGACAAGCTACTTAGCTTCTCTGTGCCTCAGCTTCCTCATCTGTAAAATGGGGTCAATTACAGTCAATTACAAATACCTCCTTATAAGGTCATTGCAAAGTTTAAAAAGGTGGAGGTACCTCGGATGGTGCCTGGCAAACAGTAAGTGCTCAATAAATGGCAACTAGTTTTTGTTATCGTCACTCCCACGTCCTAGTGCAGCTTAGAGGACGGGCAGAGACTTCATAGAAAGCATTCCAAACAGTGACTAGAACAATAATTATGCAGGATACGTGAGTATTCCTCCATGTCACCAAAAGGGACCATTGCAAGTCAGAAGCCTCAGGCCAAACAACAGATTTTGAGGACTGGAGTGAAATGTAGAAATTGCCTCGTTCAACTGAATCACTTTACAGATAGGGAAACTGAGTCTGAAAGGGACCAAGTCAGGGTGACCATATGGCCCAGTCTGCCTGGGACAGTCCCAGCTTACAGCCATGGCCCCAGCATAATTCTTAATGGTGCTCTTTCATTCTCAGAAATGTCCCTGTTTGGACAATCAATGATTTGGTCACCACAGTAACAGCCCGGGCCAGGGCCCACGGCTACTGTCATTATCGATATACCACCCTCAAGGACAGGTCAGGAAACACATTTCCCTTTCTCTCCACCCTGGGGCAGCCGTGCACACACACACACACACACACACACCCCTTTCTTCCAAGGGGCCCTGGGCTTGGGGGGGATGAGGACAGGCTGTCCCCCCTGGTCCAGCCACTGCTCATGTGGGCCGGCTCCGAAAATTCACTGGCTGCCATTCCACGTGGTACTCTTTGTGGGGCCAGAGATGCTTTAGGGACCCCTCTGGGCCTAAATGACCTGGAGAGTCGGGAGTCCTGGGGACTCTCCTAGACCATGGTTGGTGGGGGTGCAGGGAGGGGGAGTGGATGAGGAGAACCTTCTGGAGGAAAGCCCTCTATCAGCCTCATAAAAGTTCTTTTCACTACTTCAGGCTGACCTCAGTCCCACCCCACTCACCCTCCAAACCCTGGCCCCCTCTTAGAGGGAAGCAGAGCTTTATTCCCATAGTAAGAATGGTATTTGTCTACTGTGGTCTGTACTCCAAAACAGAGCCTGTCAGGTCTCCAACCACCTGGGCGAAATACACAGCATCTCGGTATTTACAGGGTCAGGCCACATAGTCTGCTCACTGAGTCCTCAGTGAGGACTCTCTGGGCCTCAGTTTCCCTAAAGAGGTAGGACAGGCTGATCACATGCTAGAATGTTCTGGCACATGAGCAGGATGGCCAGGCCAGGCCCAGGGCTGGGTGCTAATCCAAGCCAGGCCTTGAGGTGAAAGGCCTGGCTTCCTGGTATTGTCCCTCAGGCTTCCCCAGTCCATCGGAGTTCTTGGTAACTCAAACAGGGAAGCTATGTGCATCCAGAGATAGAGTGCCTTCCCAGACTGCCCGCCGGGGCTCTGGAGATGATCAGGGCAGATTGGCTAGGGTTTGAGGTAAGTCGCTGCAAACTGGAGAACAGAGATTAGTTGCTGGGGTGGGAAGATCAGCTGCCCACCCAACCCTGACCTTAGGGCCTAATTACCTAGCCCCAGGCTGCCTAGATGGAGGGAGGAGAAGAAAGGGGATGCCTTAAGAAAGAAGAGAAAGAAGGTGGAAGTCACAGGTAGCCCCCTCTGGCAACGGCTCTACCATTCCATTTCACAGAGGAACAAACCGAGGCCTGGCTGGCCCTTGTGGTGAATAGGTCAATGTATCTGCTGTCAGCTCACAGCAAGGAAAACCTCAACACTGAGGATGGAGTTTGAATCCTGCTTTGTCCCTAACTCACTGTGTGACCTGGGCAGGTAACTCGACCTTTCTGAGCCTCAGTATTTTCATCTGTAAAACGGGGTCTCATTATGCTTCCAAGATGGGAGGATTTAGGATGAGCATGCATACAGTAGGTGCTCTGTAGGTGCTGTGATTCTCATCATCACAAGCCTGACTCTTCCCAGGGTATCCTGTTAGAACTACAACGTTGCACTTTACAGAGAGGGAAACTGAGGCTAGAAAGATCAGAAGCTCCTAAAGCCTCCTCGGGTCAGTTAAAACAGGCCCTAAAGGTGCTGGCTGCATGTGAGGAGGGCCAACCCTGGAGAGTGGGTGTATCCCTGCCAGAAGGGGAGGGAGGAGGAGGAAAGACAAGGGGGTGGATATCCGTGGCCAGTCTGCAGGCACAGTGATAAGCCTTATCAAAGGGCTGCCACGTAAATACTGGCCTCAGCCTGTTGGCGGCTCTCTCTGACCTTGTAGGTCTCAGAAAGAACTGGCCTTTCTCACCCTTTAGCAGAGTCCCAGCCAGGTGGCCCCTAGCTGACCTCAAGGGAGTGGTTCCCACCCGAGGGCAAATCCAGAGATTCGGCATTCAAGGCTCCTGTCCCAGGAATGGCAAGCCAAGAAGATTGGGCACTGGGCATCTGGGGGTGGGGTGTCTGGGGCCTCAATGTCCTTTCACCCATCGCTGGACCCCCCCTGGAACAAGAGCAGGAACCGCGGCTAACGTCTACAAGGCACTCGCCCATGTCCGAACCTTCGGCCCTAACAACCCTCCACCACGAGTGCTTCGCACAGGATAAAACGCGAGCTCAGAGAGGCTAAGCAACTTGTCCAAGGTCACACAGCGGGTAGGCAGTTCAGCCTGCACCAGAACCCAGGTCTGTCTGTCAGCCCCCGAGCCTAAGGCAGCCTCCCGAGGCTTGGAGAAGGAACTATGGGAACACAAAATTACCCTCTCAGAGAGACAGAGCCAGCTGGGTTCTCTCCACCACCCAGACCCGATATGGACCTGAGCCCAGAGGCCTGATCGGGTTATGTAGATTTGGGGAAGTAGCTGTTGATAAGAGTTGAAAGCTGTTCTGCTGTGGGGAAGAGTGGGCAGGACCTTGATGGACCTTGCGGTAGGAAGCTGAGCCGCACCCCTCGGTGACAACAGGTTTTCAGAACTCAGGCATCCAGCCCACTTGTCTACGAGGCTGGGTGGCCTGGGGCATCATCCCTCCACGCTCTGGGCCTCAGTTACCTCATCTGTAACAGGGAGCTAGTGGCCGATAGGAACTCCCTGCAGCCCCGTGCCCCGTTGTCAGGGGGCTATGAAATCACGGAACACAGCAGGTCAGGGCGCGGGGGTGGTGGAGGATCTCACCGGTCACTGCACTGAAGGTGAGGCTGTCCGTGCTGGCCTCGTAGCTTCGGCCCTCGAAGTGCAGGGTCAGCCAGAAGGGCTGGCCCCGCCTCACCACCAGTCTCCCCCGGCACAAGTCAGCTGTGCGGTGGTCATGGCCGTTGACCTCCAGCTGCAGGTCACATTTCTTCAGAACCAGATCTACGGAGACAGTGGGAGGGGTGTGAGCCATGGTGGCCTCCCTCAGCCAGCTGTGACCCCGGGGCTCCCTGGATGTGGGGACACCCAGGGTCATCTGGGAGCCAGCCCTCTCTACCCCCTCCCAATCCCCTGCCCCGCCCTGCCACCCTGGGGCTAGCTGGGCCAGATGTCCCCAACTCTCAGTCACAAGGTCATGCCCACTGTGGCGTGTTGGGAGAGGTCTCTGCCACCTTCCAGCAGTGTGACTTCAGGCAAGTCCTCTTTCCGGGTGTCGCTTTCCTCATCTGTCCCCAGGACTCTTGTGAACCGCTCAGCACGGTGCCTGGCACGTTACCTGCTTCCTTCAACACGAGCTGTTCTGTCCTTATTAAAGGGTTCTTTAGGTAAAAACGAGGTGGGGAGCAGTATTTGGTGTAGGTTATTTACACAGGCTTTGCCTTTTAGTTTCAACTTTCGATTTACAAGAAATACGGAGGACTGAGGAACATGTTCCACACAGAACCAGGATGCAATAGACAGAAACAAACACTCTGGGAAACAATAGGCAGAGGATCCACTTTCCTTAACAAATAAATTGCAAGGAAAAAAAAATCGTTGAAGGGAGAAACTATAGGTTAAGAGAAACTTAAGAGACATTTCGGCCCATTTGGATCCTGATTTTTTAAAAAACGAAACTTCTCTCTACTTTGATGTACGTTCAGTATTCGCCATAATAAAAACGTTTTTAAAATGACAGGGGCTTTGGAGTCTTCTGGACCTACATTTTGGTTCCGCTGTGCTGCTGTGTGACCCTGGGCAGGTCTCTCTCCCTCTCTGGACCTCCTCTGAAGTCTCAAAAGACTGATGTGAGGACTAGGACAGGGTGTTGGGCACCGTTTCCCCAGGGCAGAAGTCTGATATGTGAAATCTCTATTTATAGTTTCGGACGGAGCTGAAGACCAGGGCGGAGGCAGGGGTGGTGGGTGGGTGGAGGTCTGAGGGAAGCGCAAACCTCATAAGTCTTGGCAAGCTCAAGGTCATGATTAGGAAGACTGTAGCATGGGGAGAGTGGGCAAGGCAGTCTCTCCGCATTGCGGGGTCCTTGGAGAGTATGTGGTCCAGCTGAGGCCAGGGGCAGGGATTTGCCCAAGTCACCCAGCAAGTGGATCCTTCCACGGGGACATCGACCCACGTCCCCTGCCTTCTGCTGTGGAAGATCCCAAAGTGCCCAGTGACTGCTGAGGGACGGCCCTGACACGGCTCATCTCCACTTAAACCTCACAGCCTCTCCACCCACATGGGTAGAGTCCGACTGTGAGGACTCGACTGTGCAGAGGGAGATATTCTGTGGCCCCAGGTCCCACGGCAAGCGGCGGCATGGGGATTGGAATCCAGGGCTGTGGAGTCTGGAGCCCGCGCCGGAAACCATCTCACTCACAGCTCAGGGTTTGTTCACCATCTCCCCCATTCCTTCCTTCCCCTCCCTCCCACCCCTGTGTTCTGAGCGTGGGAGGAAGCCTGAGGAAGCTGACCCCCTCTGCACTCAGAGCAGGAGAGACCTCCACACCACCAGGGAGAACTTCCTGCTGGCCTGCTGGGGCGAGGAAACGTTGTTTTTGGAAACTTCTATTCCAGAAAGCTTAAGCAGTTGAGACAACCCCGCCTCCCCCCCCCGCCCCGGCCCATGGTCCACCTGGGAGACCCTGGAGAGATGGTCACTTCCTGGGCTGGGGCAGGTGGGGTGCTTTCTTGGGTTATTGTCTGAAGAAGGATTTCCAGAAATCATGCCCAGCTCCAAAGGCACAGAAACACTGAGTTCTAGGATCATAGGATTTCTGCACTGAGAAAGGAGCCGAGGTCTTCCAGGCCGGTGGGACCCCTGTAGGAAGTGGCCACTGTGGTAATAAGGCGGGTGGCTCATCACAACCGGCACCTCCAGGGTCCCCCAGCCCCACGGAGCCTCTCTTGGGGACAGGGATGGGAAAATGCATTGGGGACAAGTGGCCACCTAGGTCACCCATCACAGCCAGCCCTGAGCCGGTTTTCGATCCCATGTGTTGGGGAGCCAGATCCCAGATAGGGACAAAGCTGGCCCGAGGTCACACAGCAAGTCAGGCAGGTCCACGGTTCATCCCTCTCTTCCCTTTTCCACGTGCCCCACCTCCCTCTTCACATTCCCTCTCCCCGCACCTCCTTCCGGGGGCTACAGTGTGCAGAGGCCATCTCCAAATGGACTTGACCCAAGAGTTGGGACACAGGGCACAGTGGTCTTAGAGCAATGACATCCTCCATTGCAGAAATCCCTCCCCTGGGACAGAAGGGCGGCCACCGTATGCGTGTGTGCGTGCGTAGTGGGCGGAGCAGGTAAGAAATTAATCGGACCCCTTCTCTATTCCTTTTGGCCCTCACCGATGTACCAAGAGCCACAGTGCTGTCCATTTTGCAGGAGGGGAAACTGAGAATCCACAAGAGACCAAAGACCAGAGTTGCAGAACCTGAGGGCTGGAGGGACCTTAGAGAACCTGTCTGCTCTCAGCCCAGTCCCCATAGGGTGCTGGAACCTCTTCTCTGGCCCCGGGGCCAAGCAGTCTCCCAGGTACCACTAAGGAGAACGTGCATACCTCTTCCCAGCTGGCAGGGACTAACCAAAGCTAAGTGTTCGGAGGCTGGACAGACCCCTCTGCACAGCTTCATGGGACGCAGCCCCACTAATTGACTGAGGACAAGTGACAATGGTCCACTAGTCCAGGACTTTACAGTTTACCACACATTTTCACGTTCCATTGCCTCATCTCTTCCAGGGAGGCAGGGGTTAATGGTTATGCCCTGGGGATAGGGAAAGGAAGGGCCCAAGCTGGGCCAGGACTGGGAACCAGGCACTCCTCACCCAGCCCACCCTTCCTGTTGCTCCCAAACTGGGGGACCTAGGGACTGAGCCCCTGGCCAGGTGTTTCCTCCCCTCCCCCATGGCCCAGGCAGGACCACTGCGACCAGGAGGGATGGCCAGGGGCAGGGCACCTGCGTGGTGGCAACGCTGCCCCTGATACTCACCCTCGGCCATGGTCAGGTGGTGGCGGTGGCTCCTCCCCTGACCAGTGTGGCTGGACCCTCCAAGTGCGACCACTGAAGGCAAGCACTGCTGAAGCTGAGAGAGCCGTGAACTTATAGCGGCTTTGGGCGGGCAGGGGGCGGGGCCGCGCCGGAAGGCGGGGACCTGGTGGGGCCACCTTTGCCCAAGCTGGGCCCGCTGTCTGCTCTCCGCTAGTTAGGGTGCCCCCAGAAGCAGGAGCCCGAGGGAGGGAGGGAGCAGCCGCTGCGCAAGGGCGCCCCCTGCAGGAGCGGACAGACATCAAGGCTGGGACCGCAACGGACAGGGAGACACAAAGAGACCAGGCCCCACAGACACACCTGGACACATAATCAGACCTCGGGTAATAGAGACACCGAGGCGCGGAAATAGACACAGGCAGGTACAGACACAGGGCTGCGCCAGGACACAGCTTACCTGGATCCACAGACACGGATCCGTAGTCAGGTCTACCCCGGATCAAGAACACACACACACACACACACACACTCTCTTTCTCTCTCTCTCTCTCTCTCTCACTCAAATACAGATACAGATGGAGCAGACACGGACACACAATCAGAGACATTGGGACATGGACACTCAGTGACACACACACACTCCAACAGATAGAGAAGATGAACCTGGACACAGAGACCCAGTGACATGGATGCAAAATCAGATTAAAATCACAAAGACATGCCAGGACATTGATACAGCCCGAAACAGAGAGACGGGTCCCCATCCACAGCCACTCGCGGATCAGCAGGTGTCCAGATGCAGCCAGCTCGAAGACACACAGATAGACCTCACAGACACGGACCCATCATCAGGTGTGGACACAGAAGCAGATTGGGGCACCCGTGGACGCACGAACCTGCAGATACTCTGAGAGGGACCCACACGCAGACACGGACTCATGTGCAGACACGCAGACATGCCCACACAGATATACCCCCATCTCTTCCTGTAGCCCAGCTCTGATAATCTGCCTCTCCCACCCATCCCTCAGTCCCCCTCATCATCCATCCATCCATCCATCCATCCATCCATCCATCCATCCACTCACCCACCCATCCCTCCCTCCTCTCTCCCCCTCTCCCTCCACTGAGCTTCCTTGCAGATCCGCTGTGTGCCAGAAAGGACCAAAGCCAAACTTCTAGGGACTCATCCTCTGAGCCCCGGAACCCAGCACCCTGGCTGTGCCCATCCTGATTTCTCTGTTTCCCCAGCTTCCTACGCTTCTTACCTACCATGAGGCTTGAGCAGAAAGGGTCCCTGGAGAGACTGGGGCCTGTAGGCCTCCCCCAGTCTTTTTCTGGAACAAGTTCTGTATCTATTGATGGATCTGAGCTATGAAACTGGCCTTCATTCCCATTCCTGTGTAACACAGTGCAAGGAATAAACCATGTTGCTTTCGTGGATGTTTGTCCCTGGGCCCAATGGGCCCTGCCTGGGGTCTTAGTGAGAAAACTCATAACCCAGTGCTGACTTGTAAAATATAACCCTGTGAGCGAACCTTGTAATTGCCCCCCACTTTACGGATGTTGTTATAAAAACTGTTTCCTGCAGCTAGCAAGAGCTCAGAGGAAGAAGCAGGGTGAGTGGACATCAGCCAAGAAACCCGGTTTTGAGTTCCAACTCTGACGCTGACTAGCTGTGTGGCCACGGGCAGGTATTTTGGTTCTCCAGGCCTCAGTTTTCCCTCTGCAAAATGGGGGCAAGAATTCTTCCCTTACAGGCCTGGAGTAAGACTCTACCAAGAAGACTGAGGTTGAGCACCCAGTATGTAATGAGCACTTGATAACCGGGGTCCCTGAGTTTTGGAACAAAGATGCCAGTGTTCCAAAACCTGGCCCTGAGGGACAGGGACCTCAAAGAGAAACAGGAGGCCTGGGGCCAGTCAGGCTGTGCAAAAAGAGATCTGCAAGATGTACGTTTCTACAAGGGTCGGCCCTGCCCCAACTGAAAGGGTGCATTTTGCTTTTGTCCATTCTTTTCCATTTGGAAATGATAGGTGCTTCTTTCCTTGCTACTAATTTCCCTTGTAACCTCTGGGAACTCCCTGGAGGACAGGAACCCATGTGAGTCTTATTAGAATACCCACCAGGTTGTTCCTAGTATGGGGCTTACCACAGAGCCCCGCACCTGTCCCCAACTCAGCTGTCTCTGCTTCCTTCCTCTCCCCTTTCCAGAGAACCATGGTCACCTGAGTGATACAGTCACTTGAGCAATCGAGGGCCAGTCGGGGTCAGGACTGGCTTCCAGGAAATGTCAGGCAGGGGCCAGTGCCCAGGCTAAGCCTAAAGACGTGGATTTCACCTGGCGACCAGGGGGCCCTTGCCCCCCAGCTCTGGGTTTCAGTTTTCCTATTTGTTCAGAGGGGCTGGGAAACCCTCTGGGACATGTAAGGATTCAAAACTCCATTTTACTAAAGGAAAAACAGAGACCCAGAGAGGGTGATAATAGGCTCAAGGTCCTCAAAGAGTGCAGACAGGGCCTTTCTCATCCTATGCAGGAGAAGTGCCATGCAATGGTGGGATGGGGAGCATCTGAGGTCACTCTTGGCTGTGTGACTCTGGGTAATTTACTAGGCTTCTCTGAGCCTCAGTTTCCTCCTCTATAAAATGGGTATAAAAAGGACCCCCACCTCTGGGGATTAGAGATAATATCTGTTCAGTACCCTGCACAATAATAAGTGCTCAATAAATGTTACCCAAAACTTCTTAATGATGATGCCATCAAGAATCTGGACTCCCCTCCCCCATAAAAGGGACAGTCTTTATGTGTAAGTAAAGCAGGTTGCAGACAATGTAGAATGTTCAGGGTAGAGATGCTCAGAAGAACGCCCTACATCCCAGATAAGTCTTGTACCCAGGGTCTAATGCCTAAACCATTAGAGAGATCAGTCCTTTGCCTCCATAAGGATCTCCAAGCCTCAAGGTAGAGACAAAGGTGAAGTTTTAGAACTTTTGAATAACTCCTTACCAGCCAGATATGGCATTTAAATCTCACAATATGGGTCTTGTCATTTGTTAAATAAGGAAACTGGGGCTCAGAGCAGTGAAGCGATTTGCCCAGGGTGACACAGTCAGGAAGTGGGGGCTTGGAACCCGGGCTTGATTCAAAAGCCTGTGCTGGCTCTCCCATGGTTCAGAAGGCAGTCCTATCCCACCCGGCCCCCCAGGGGTGGGGTCTCAGGGGCCTGGGTCATGTTCAGTCCTACAGCTCTTGGCAAGTGAGGCCTCCGAGGGCAGTGGTCCATGCTCCTGAGCCATGGTGTCTGGTGTAGGTTCAATTAATATTTGTGGCATGAGAGAGGGAGGGATGAGTCAGAGAGAGCTGAAGGAAGAATGGAAAGAAGGAAGGAAAGGAAGAAAAGAATAAGGTTCAGAGAGGTTGGGTAAACCACCCGAGGTCACACAGCACAGCTGGGCTCCCAGGCCCTGGCTGGGCTCTGCCTTTCCCCAAGGACAAGGGACCCCCCAGGCCGGAGATGGCCCTGGATGGCTGAGCTGGGAGGATGGGGGAAGGCAGGGCAGTAGTGGGTGGGACCATGATAGGGCATTTGAAGGCCTCAATTTTTCTACCAACTGGTGACTAATGACAGATGAGCAGTGTCTGGCATGAGGGAGCCCAGGGAGGGCAGGGCCAGACTCCCCTGAGGTGGGATGGGTGAGGTAGGGGTGTTAGGACAGGGGACTTATGGAAAATGTCAAGGCACAGGCGTGACCTTTCAACGGGTGGCCCGTCTGGGGCTAGGATCTGGGTGGCCCAGGGGTGGGGAGCAGAGAGCCGAGTGCCTGATTGGGAAGGGCCGTCCCAATGTGTCCATTTTACAGATGGAAAAACTGATGCGGCCATCTTGTCTGCAGCTCTGCCCTCACAACGACCCTTAGCTCTGGGACTGGGAGCACTTTAGTTCCCCTTGGTGGGGCTTCGGTTTCTGTTTCTGTGAAAGCAGAAATCACATCCCAGACCTCATGGGGCTGCTGTGATGATGAGGGGAGCTGTGGGGCCAAAGGGAGCCTTCTGAGGAGCTGTCTGCATGGGCCCCTCCCTGCCGAAATACCTCAGGGCCAAGGCGAGCTCTTCGCCTGGTATTCAAGACCCTACAGATCTGGCCCAACTTACCCTCCAATTGCATCGTCCGCTTCTGCACCGTCCAGCCTCACCTGGCACATGGCTGGCCCCACACACACCCCGAGGTTATCTGCCTCTGGGCCTTTGCTCGAGCTGCACCCTCTGCCTGGGATTTCCTCCCCTCTCCACCTCTCGAGGTTTCACCCAGGCTCTGCACCCTTCCCAAAGGCCACCTCCTCCTGGAGCCCATCCACAGCAGGACTTCCTTCCCCTCACACACAGGGCACCGTCACCGCCTGCCGTGCAGCAGGACCACGTGTGGGCATCCATCTCCCTCCACCCACCGGCTCACTAAATGTTTGTTGAGTGAGTAAGTGACCTCTGGGGGTGGGGGGAGAGACTTGTTCAAGCCCGGGCTAACCCCAGAGCCTTGATTGGCAGGATTCAGGGTGCCAGTTGCCCATATCAGGACCAGGAGCCAGGGTGTGTCCCTGGGGCCTTTCTCAATTCTTGTTGCGTCCCTCAGAAATGAGATGTTTGGGCCCAACTTACATCTCCTACAATCCCAGGAGTAGGAAGACCCCTTGCTGAGCTCAGGGAGGGCCAACAACTTTTCCCAGGCCACACAGCAAGGTATAGAAGAGTTGGAGTGGAGCCTCCAAACACTATACAGAAGTAAATTCTGGCCCCATACCTCTGTTCCTAATTTTGAAAAGGTAGAAAGCTGCTTTTATTTAACTTGCAATGGGGTACTGCGTTGTCCCAGGGAGCAGGTTGGGACATGAGGCATGCAGGATGGGACCAGCGATGAGCTGGTGTGGCAGGGGCTGACCCGGGTCCCACGGCCCCAGGCTCCAAGCCTAGACCCTTCTTGCTGTGTGGCCTCAAGCCTTAGTCTCCTACGAAAAGAGACTCCAAACCTCCAGCCCACTGGGCTACGAGGAGGAGGTCCGAAGAGGAAGTGAAAGCCCCTCCCAAGAAGAAAGTTGGTTCTATTATTGTTGTCCCCAC